GAACCACAATGCCCCAGGAATCTGGACTCCCACTATGCCATGACCACTATGCCATGAACCTTAACACGCTGAGAAACTTCTGCAACTGACATCGTTGCTTTGGATGTTGAGCTGCACATCTGCATTCCCTGACTAAACGGATATTGGCTCGACTCAGAAAAGGATCGGCAAGTTATGTCTTAGAGCTTCTTAGAGTTGATGACCGTCCAAAACATCGTTCGCCATCTCGTCCAAAAGTTGCTATTGCATGCTTAACCTGACAAAGAGTTTGACGACAGTTGCTTCCGTCATGTTGAAGAAGCCGGTGGCGGCAACCGCTTTCAAGATCCTCCAGCCAAGCCCTATGAGACTCGAACCAGACCTGACACTTACGGAGTTTCCAGATTTGTAGCATTCCTGGAAAAACTCTGCCCAGCCGCGGAGTCCCCTGGCCTAGAGACAGAAAACCTTTTTGTTATTGTAGCACGGTCAGGCAACGCCTACCTACTCAGCTGCTAGTCGGACATATTGTGGCTTACATCAGACCCTGTTTGTAAGTTGCTGGCCTCCGCCAAGTACACTGCGTAGTGCGACACCTCGACATCAATGGCGAGATGCGATAATTGCCGGACATTGATGCATGATGGATACTTTTGCGCTTATCTGCAACATCGATCATTACTCCTGAAACCTTTGCTTTCAGAACTTTACCTACTATCAAGGATGATGCCCAAAATGTTGTAAGGCGCAGGACGTGTGGTATACAATGTGTTGCAAGACTTTCCTGCTTGGCGACCGATTTAGGCGTGCTTGCTTGTGGTAGCAGCTTTTTCTCTACTGTACGACTATCCCGTTGCTCGCAAGGTCTCCCTCTAATTGCAATTGCTACCTAATACGCGTAGAACTGGCATGTTTGTTACATCTCCCACTACTCACTACTGCATTTGCTACCGCGAGCCCCGTATCTATCAAGTACTGGCTGTAACTACTCCTCTTGCACAAGACGTTTGCAGGGAGCAAAAAAGAATGTACATGGTCAGCTCATTACACAACCCATAGATGCAGGGATACCGAAAAGGAGGACTCCCCAAAAACCCACCAAAATCCACACCCCCGAAACGACGGATAAATGACCAGTTGAAGAGGGACTTCCCTAGCAGGGGAGCTGTACACAGTAAAGATGGTCAGTGGTAGGCTGTTCATGAACTTCAAAACTACGCCCTAAATCCTATACGTCCGAAATGAGTAGGATTCCTTCTTTGCGGGCCGCCCACCATGGGTTTTGGGTTCAGAGCTTAAGGTCTAAAAGCTGAAGTGGCCGTCGAAAGCTAAGCTTCCAGCAGATGCTTTATCTGTTGTCAGGCTATCCTGTGTCCATGACACCGTCCCATTGGCATATTCCCATGTCGGGTCCTGGCAAACTTAATTAAGAGTTGATGGGACAATGGAAAAGAAAATGGAAACTACTATAGTATACAGCATTGGGGTTATGTAGGGATAATGGGAAAATGGAAGCTACTATATTATACAGCTTCAAAGCCTGATGAAGCATTCTGACGCAGACCACGGTTACCCAGGTTCCCATCACCATTGGTATCTTGCTGCGCTGCTAGGGGTCCTTTAATATCATCTGAACATGCTCTGCTACCATTCAGACTCACCCTACTTTCAGCCGAATCGGATCCCTACATAATCCCTGCATGCGGGGCAATATTATGAACTTCATGTCCTTTAGCATCTACGCCGGGATTTGGCTGCAACACCTCTTCCTGGCGATCATCTCTAGATTCCTCGAAGAGCGCCCTTGATGACAACCAACTAGCTGCACAATTCGGATTCAATATCACATCATCCTGTAGAACCCCAGCGAAGCCTTGTGACACCCTGATCCTTTATGCGAGCGATTGTCACAAGATCCAGGCAATATAAACCTTAATCACAAAAACCGACGGATACATAAAAATCTTCAGCTCCTAAACCCAGAAGCGCCCAAATTCTGCTGGCTTAGCCCCGGATCCTGATCTGCACTGAATTAAATCGCTTGTGTGAAGGCTTGCAAAGTCACGCAGCCCCTCACTGCCCATACCCTAAGACTTCGAACTACGAACGCTACGGCTAATCCCCTATCCGCAATCGTAAGCACGAAGCCCTTGCCTTAAGTGAGGGAGTGGATCCCCGTAACTATCCCTACACAATCCGTATGCTCCCTTAGCCTCATGCGTTGGGCATAGGGCATTCTGGCCGCAACGGCAACCGGCCGAGCTTCAGAAAGGATGAAGACTTGTGTAATATGTAATGTCGAAACCTGCATGATTCCATTGGGCTCTGGGGACAGTAGTTTTTGCCGGAGTGTAATCCAGGATTTTGTATGGATGGACTTCCTAGTTGCTCACGCTTCTGGATCTTTTCGACCCTCCTCATCTAACTTACGTCAAATAGTAACAAGCGGTCCGTAAACCCCAAACCCAAGCCCCAAATCCTGTCTTGCGGTTGTGACGGGAGACCCTGCATCTACAAAATCAAGCCTAATTGCTAAGCCCTCCATAGGAAATTGCATTTCTCAACCCTCAGCCGCATCGCCAGCTGTCCTCGTCGGGAAAGCCCAAGCCCTGGGATCCCAGTTGTCGGGCTTAAGGGGGTTAATCTCAAAATGATGGATCCCTTTAAATATATTATGGCGCCTAATGTATAGGGTACCAAAAAGGGGACCCTAATTTGGGGAACTCCCCAAGACTATTGGTTTGAGGCCTGCTGAGGTCTGTGCCGTTTAGGCTTCAGGTGGAGGACTCCGGCCCTCTGACAGTTGAACTGTTCAGGGGCCTCATTAACACTTAGCTGTCTTCTGAACCCCTCCAAGATGTTAAATGTTTAGCTCCCTTACGATGAATCAGAATGAAACCCAAAAAGTTAAAGTCTTCAGAAGAATACTGATGAATGAAGGTTATGATACCCATAACACAGGCGACATGCCCGAGTAGCCATGATCACCACAAAAGCTCGAGCGAATAGGATCCAGACGCAGAGCTGAAACTGATGGAGCGGGTGCCTGGGTGTCCCTGGCGATGAGGGCAGAGAGGTTTCAACAAGTAGCCATCAACCTCCATGCCGTAGCTCAGCTACTACCCGGGCCCTAAGAAAGAAGGGTCCTATAAAAAATTACATTCGCTGGAACGTAAGCCCTATCTTCGAAGCAACTCCGGGTGTTGCGGACGGGAAGCGGTGATCCAAGGCGAGTCAGTGGGCGCCACGCCGCTGTCATCGTAAAGAGCTGTTGCCTTAAGGGCACAAGTGTATGACGGGCTCTGACAGTTTGGGGGAGCAGAGATCGGGCTGTCATGTAACAATTGTAACAACAGTTCAGTACCCAATTAAGCGTCCCTACATAACCCTGATTAAGAGGGAACCGAAGGGGAAGTAGCATGAGGGTTGGGAAACCCATACACAATTCGCCCCCACAAAAAGCATTCGCAAAAGATTCTTATGGGATCGTACTTCAGCCGGCCATCTCACATCCCCAAACAAGCACTAAGCAATGAAGCTTCAGAAATCCTCAGGAAGACCTTGACAGCACATGACAGGACCTGACTTAATATGATAGTTTCTCTAATAACGGGACCCCAATATAGACTGCAAAAAACTACAATCCGTATTATTGGGAGCCTCAAACGATACCCCTAATTTGGGGAAACCCTCATATTCAACGGCCTCCGGGCCCGTAGCTTTCTAGTTCTTAGTAGGGAATAAGGGAACGCGATCCCTATGTCATATATTCCCTGATTCCATACTAACCCTAAAACCTAAACCCTGAACCCTATATGATATATTCCCTTGTTCCCTACTAACCCTAAACCCTATACCCTAAACCCTGTACGATGTGTTCCCATCTTCCCTACTAAGCCCCAGTAAGGTAAGGATGCGGTCCCGTGCCAAGACTGAACAATGACTGTGTGGCTGCTAAGGAATTCAAACTAAGTTACCATGATATGATTACATATATATATATGGATATATAGAGTTTGGGGTACATAGAATTTAGGGGCTTGATTTAAGTTACCAGAATATGGGTATATAGGGCTTAGGTTGTTATACTAACTTGCTATAAGTTCCTGAACGGCAACCCAGATGAACTGGCTTCCTGAAAGCAGTCTGAGCCCCTGGCACAGCCAACGGCCGCATTCTGATATGCCTTGGTAGCCGGATTGCTAGTTATGACCTGTCTGTAGAACTGGCATGCACTCTATGTTCACGGATTCAACATATATAAATACATTGAGGACCAGAGTCGGAGTAACTGGATTTTTCACAAGTCTTGGACAAAGCGCAAACGCAACCACAGCAAGCACAAACATGCAGATCGCCACCATGACCATGGTGCTGGCCATTACCATGACCAAACAGAAGAAACACAACAACTGCTGTTGTGATAACGACCAGGACCACCTCGACCACCCTCACCTGAACTTCTGGGGCTGCGACCCCAAGGTCGGACCGGTACCTCGACAGCTTCTGCAGCAGGACATGTTGAGCAACATTTCTTGGAGTTTGCGTCGGGCTGGGACAAGGTCCATGGGGCCTGATACAGGCTTTCGACTGCGTCACATGTTTGCATGAGAGCTTTAAGCATGATACCGTTTTGACCGGGTCTTGGCACATATCTAAAGCAAGGGCAAAGAAGGTGCAAGTCTTTCCCCCTTTGAACCAACTGGCACCCTGAAGACACGTGAGCTAGCCAGGCATCCAACAATTCACAGCTAGCCGGGGCGTGTGAGAGGGGAAGCTGTTGAGCCTCTGCGCTGCTTGGGCCAAATGGCGCACCGTCAAGATCTCTTCTAGAAAGTTGCATCGCCAGATGGGCAAAGGCTCCGGGGTCAGGTGTCATAACTTCCATTTCCCACAAGCCATTAGAATTGAATCTGGTCTTTTCCAGGTAACTCAAGCCGGCTGCGGTATCACCAGTCAGAACTTCTAAGTGCATGCAATGGCCACATGAACAAAATGACTCCGCTTCTTGCTTTGGGAAGTCAGTGCCCATGTGCCAAACAGAAGCCGCAAGGACCGTAGCGCTTAGCGCCTTGGGCATACACACAGCTCCTTTGATGATAGACATGACCACCTTTACGAATGTAGACGTCACGTGTACGTTCAGCAGTCGGAGGCTCAGGAGGCGAAGAACTAGCAGCAGCTGCCTCAGTTGGCGTTGTAGTCGGGCCGTTGTTGGAGTTCGGCGCAGCAGCTGGCCTAGAGCCTTCAGCAGCGGTGGTAGTCTGTGAGCTCGTCGGGGTGCTCGATGAGGACGCTGTAGACGCTCTTCTGCAGCAGGATCGATCAACGAGAACAGCCACAGAAGCTGATGCCGTGCACAGAAGTAGTGCTATGGCCATCAGAACCCAGTCGTAGACGCTCCAGACGTCCACAAAGTTGGGCTGTGCAGTCACAGGAGTGACCAAAGCAGTCGTAGTAGCCACAAAGAACAGCTTCTTGGAGAAGACGAGGAACGGAAGGCCAGCAAACCATGCCTTCTTCTGTTCAAGCACCTGGTCGCCGGCAATCAAGTCGTCCTCGTCAAAATCATCACTTGGAGGTAGTCGCTTCATCTCCAAGGGGTGCCCCGCATTGAAGAACTCAATGAACCCGGTGGTAAGGAACTTCATCAACACTGGAGAAGACATTACTTTCGTGAGCGCATCTGCGGTCATCGCCTCGGTGGGCGTGAGAATGACCCAGCGCAACCGCCCCGAAGCTCTTGCCTCTCTATGGGCTAATATATATAGTCGTTGACTTTTGTCAGCTGGCATCGACCTCAGCCCTGTCGTCAGTTCATAAAAGTCTTTACAGTCTGTGTGACTGTCGAGGGGAAACCAAGAGTTTCCCCTCTCCTGAACAGCTAATAGCTGTTGTATCGAGGGCTTGACCTTCCCGAAGGTTGCTTCAGCTAACCTCGTACTCACGAGTGTCCCACACTCGAGGCCGTTCAAAGCTGCCAAAGTTTCGCCGTGACTGGTCGAATAAGAGATCCGCTTTGCTTTCGACGATTGCATGTGCAACAGTTGAGCACAGCCAGACAGCTTGTACTTGGCAAACTCGTCGCTGGCAACGATGTGGTTGCTGGCGACATCCAAGTGATCACTCATGAGGACAACCAGGACTCCTTCCTGGGCGTAGTTCTTGGTTGAGGTTGCCGCGGAGGCATCATGGATCACCACGATGCGGTAGGAGTTGGATTCCAGGGGCCGGTAGTACACTGCCGCCTCGATGTCACGCTTGGCCCGCAGCACAAGTGCGTTGGATGCACGAAGGTGTTTCACGCAGGCCTTATTCATGACACTTTGCAGCGTAGAAAGCTCAGCCAGGAGGTCAGGCCGAGTCAAACCTGTCCACATAAGGCCGCCAATGGCCGATCGGAGAAGAGTAGTCTCCTCGCTGCTCAGCTGTCGTTCGTCGTCGTCATCTTTGGCGACCTGGACGGGCTTGAGCATGGAGACATACTCGTACTGATCCACGCGCAGTCCAGAGCCAACAGCGCTCTAGCGACAACCACAGTGAACAAAAGGAACGCGTTCTCGGGTGAGCTTGCCAAACTTCACCGTCATCTTCTGGAAGGTCTCATCCAGCCACTTCTGAATGCCTTCTCAACGGCCAAATCATCTACGTGAGTAGTCAGTGACGGCTTCGGCCACTTGCCGGGAGCAGGTGCTGGCCAGTACCAGTAGCACTCATCAAAGTGCGATTGCACGCCGCCAAGTTCACGCAGATACTTGCGGAGGAAGAGCTGCCATGCCAGCGGTGCCTCAGACAAGCCATACACTGGCTTCAGGCACAATAGTGCAAACAAATGCAGCTTGTCCTCAGGAATATTGAACTTCTTTGACAGCTTCTTGAGGTGCCGCCAAACGTTGCGAGGTGGAATGACGGCGATCATTCTCTCGACGGAGTTGAGACCGAGCTGACGAAGCGCGCGCCACAAGTCTTGGTAGGTGAGCCCCTTCAGGAATGCACCAGCCACATCCCAGCTTTCCAGGGATCGGTTTCCACCATTCACAGCTGACACCAAGATCAATCGTTGTGACAACCTTGTAGCCGTGGTGGAACGATTTGACATCATGCGCTTGTAGGGGTCATGACAGCCACGTGCACAAAGTCTGCTCTTCACAATGCGGCCCTCAATGGCTTTCTTCCACTTCCTGACCCAGATGGCATCTATGATGGCCACATCCTTTCCAAGATCGGAAAGAAGCACTGGCTTGAAGGCATCCTGATCCACAAACTGTGCCAGCTCCTTAGCATCACCCTTTTCGACCTCGGGCCATATCTTGTAGGCATCATCCTCGGTGATCGTGTCAGCGGTGGAGTCCACGCGGAAGATGTTGCCCTGGTAGAGGTCGGCATACCATCCATGTGATGCCATGTAGAAGAGGCTGGCATTAGCCCGTCTGTCTTGCTGGCCGACGTAGTGGTACTCGTTCTTGAGGTCGTGTTGGCCTTCGTCAAGTCGAACACGATGTTGAGCCTTATGCATGGACATGAAGGTATCTGCCATGTGCTCGGATGCCGGAAGTGCAAAGGAGGTGCGCTGCTTCTTGTTCTCGGGACCAAGAGTCACTGTTCTTGAATCAGGGCCATCGCGCTTTGTGGCATCCTTGTCAACCTCCATGTCATCAGGCCCAAGAGTTGGGCCATTGGACACCTCACCAGCAGGAAGAGGAACAAGAGGAGATTCCTCCATTGGAGTGCCGCGAGGGAGCCACTCTGTATTCGGAAGCGCAACAAAGTCCGGGGCATAGCTGTAGAAGTAGATGTAGCACATTTCCTCGCGCCCAGCGAGCCTAAGAGGTGCAGTTGACATGTCGGTGCCTCGCGGGTTGTCAATGATGGACATGCGGACCGTGTGTTTGCGCCATGCAACCAATGTCCCGGTCGTGTTAGCCGCAGTCAACATTTTCCGGAGACCAACACCAACCTTGATCCCATGGCATTCCTTGGAGGTTAGGAAGGAGGCTGCCTTGATGATGTCCTGGAGGATGCCGTCCCGCTGTTTGACATTCATATTCTTCGGATGCACAGACCACTTGCCGTTGAGGTTCTTGAGGTGTCCGAATGTGTCAATGCGGAAGGGCACACAAGCTTCAGTGCTTTGCATCAGGGAACGAAGTGCCAACCATGACTCAAGTTCTTGTTCACGTCGGTCGCCGTGATCTGTCAGGTGGTTGGAATAGTAGGTGCTACGGAAGATGCGCAGGTTCCTGTAAGGGACCAGATAAGGACGGCCTTGGTATTCCACGATGGCAGAGCCATTGTCCTGCAGCTTGAGGAGTAGTCCAGGGCCGCGCCAGCCCAAACCATCAGCATCTTCTCGATGAAACCCAATCTCTGTGACACCTGGTTGCGTTGACTCAGTTGGTAGCCGTTGAGGTCGTGTGTGCCCTGCACGAAGGATCCTGTTCTCGGTGATGGCCTGTGCTGCTGACGACAAGGATATCTGTCGCAGACGCAATGCATTCCCGAAGACCGTCGGCCTCGTCATATTAGCACCAGACACCGATTGGATCCCCGCAGCGTCGATGTCATAGAATGGGAACGGCATGGATCCCGTGACCATCATATGCGGAGTCACGCCTCCAATGTTCAAGGAAGCGTTTTGTGAGAATCCAGCCTCTGCTGCCACAACCGCTGACGACACTTCAATGCCTGCACGGTCAGCCTCCGCCTTGATCTTCAACATCTGGATCTTTACCAGATCGGTGCGCTTCTCCACCAAACCGGTGGTGGTATGCTGCCCTTGCGCTTTCCCTCGGGTTGTGCCTGCAGGTTCCCGCTGAATGTTCAGCCTCTCCAACTCAGCTGCGGCCTCATGTGACATAAGACAGCTCTCCTGATCGGACACCAGCTTTCGCATTGGTCCGAAGAAACGAAGCCAGTTGTGAAGAAGAACATGAAGTGCAGTAGGTAAGTCCCGTCCGGCCACCTTCACCACCACCTTGTAGCGAGTGGCCACGTCGATGAGGATCATGAACCATTCGTTCCAAAGTTGGAAGTAATCGGCCTGCACTTCTTCACCGAAGGTCATAGGATGACTTGCCTTCACAACCGGTTTCGATTTCAGCTTACTGTACTTTCTGCAGATAGCACAACCAGCAATCACTTCAGGCACAAGCTTTAGCACATCCGAGGGCATGCCTGACTTTGACAGCAAGGATTGCAGATCGCTCGCCGATGAGTGCCAGAACCTCTCGTGAAGCCCCAGGATCAGTCGCTTAGCCTGATCCACATCGTTACGAGCAAGTCGCGGAAGTCGGACCAGGACTCGACGGAAATCGAAGTTCGATCTGCGAGGAGGATCAATGGCTGGCGCCAGGTCATCGATGATGCGCTCTTCCTCCTGAGCCTCGTGATCCTGTTCTTCGGCATCAAGAACACGTTCTTGGTCTTCTGCACCTCGAAGAATCGGATCCGGTGGAACATCATCATCATCATCAGGAGGAACACGAAAGATGAACTCTGTGGCGCCAGTCCATCGTCCTTGTTCCAGAGCTGCCCTCGAACTGTCCTTGCCTGTCCATTCATCCTTGATGACTACCTTTGGGCCCTGTCCATCATGCGGAGTTGCCATAGTGGTCCGAGAGCTCTCAAGTTCGTCCAACGCGATGGGACCTTCATCCTCCCTGGGAGTAAACAAGGCAACTCGTGGTTGTAGATGATGTCGTGTGGCACGTCCTCGGGCCCTGTCGATCTCCCAGTAGTCTTTGTCTTGTGGAGCGGACCCGAAAATGGCAATGACCCAGTCCTCGCTGTAGCACTTGCTCTTGAGCTGGTTGTCCGTGTACGTGCGGAGGTCTTCCACTGGTTTCAAGGTCCATGACTTAACCTCTCCGCGAATGATCATCCTCAAGGGCGCGGTCTCGGTTCGTAGGAACGGCATGGGAAGAGGAAATGTCTCCGCATGAAGTGAGGCGCAGACGCCCTTGACATTCATGACTTTTGCAAGGATCCTCCGCAAAAGTGCAATGTGCAGAGGATCTTGACTCCAATGGTTGTGCTTGCCCTTGTACTCACTGATGATGTTCACGCTGTCGTTGACAATGTCGGTGAGCAGGCTCTTGAGCATCAAAGTGTCCACGGCGGACATGGTCATGCCATCAGGAAGCTGGATCTTGATCTCGTCCAAGTTGGGCTTCTTCAATGCTGCCTGCTTACACTCCTCGATGAGCTGTGGCATAGGAGTAGTTACTGCAGCTCGTACAGGAATACCAGGTCGTGGTGCCGGATCATTCGAGGAGGATGCTGCAGCAGGTGTAGGAAGTGAAGAAGCGTGACGGCATTCTCGAGGGATCAACGTATGTTCTGTGCCAGGCGGAGCATTCCTTCCAAGTGCACACTTCTCACACTTGTAGCCAATGAAGTATGCTTGCCTGTCCTTCGTCAGGAACTTCTTGAAACCCTTGATCAGCGCTCGACAGAACTGATGAGGGTAGATGGCCGCCAGTGTTGTCCGATTCTTTCCTTGGAAAGTGGCTTGCAGAACACCATGGCCTTGGCGATGTCCTCCGCAACGTCTGGTGGCATTACTAAGGGAGAAATTGCCTTGAAGCCCTGTTGCCTTTTGAATGGGCTTCCCTGCTTCATCCGTCGCGCCATAGGAACACTGATCAGCACGCTGCTTAGGTCGGCAGCTTGCCAGTTCCTGTTCCAAGGACGCCAGAGGGGAATGCTTCCACAGCGACGAACCCCATGGATTCTCGACAAGGAACCCTCGACCTTCTTCTTCTTGATTGGCAGCCAGCTTCTTCACGAACACCAGTGCACTTTCTTCCTCAGACTGCAGCTTTTGCCTGTCTTCCGAAGATAGCCTGTTTGCCGAGGTTGACCAGGGTCCGCAAGAAGGAGAAAGCATGATGACATCTGGTTTGCAAATCTCTTGCATTTCCAAGAGCATCTTTTGGTGACTAGAGTCGCCAATGTCCCAGCCGTACCGGTAGTCGACGGGGAAAGCAACAGACAATCCAGCCAACAGGGCCATGTATGACAGTCTTCCAGAGCCACTGCATATCTCCCAGAATTGCATCTTTCGTCTTGACTTCTTCGTCCGCTTCCAGTCATGGAAGTTGTCCGGAGTAATGGGCACCTGTCCAGACTTGACATAGAACTCCTCATGGATCGCTTGGTACTGCTTATCGAGCTTCTTGACCTTTTCGGATGACAGCTCTGGAGGATAATGGTCGCCCCTATAGCAGGTGGGCATGTCGAACTTCCTCTCGTTCTCTGCTGAGGCCAGAACATCAATCAGTGGTCAGAGACTGCGTCGCAAATGAGATCTGGTGCTGAATGTCTAGGTCCACACTGAAATTCTAAACTGGCCCCAGAGTCCTCCTTGATCTCGTTCGATGCTGTTGCTGTAGTCGTTGGTGGTGGCGCCGGTTGCTCATCCTCAGTGAAATGACTCCGCTTCTGCTTTGGGCATGTCGTCCATGTGAACCATGACCTCACGTCCTTCCATTGAGCCTTTGATTTTTCTTGAACACTCGAGAGAAAGGTTTTGGCCTTGACCTTTTCCTTCTCGTCCTCAGCGCTTGCCTCTCCATCCAACGGAAGCAAGTAATGCTTGGAGTCGGTGAGGAGGAGCCGGATCATGTGGAAGTCGTCATCGTCCTTCGGGATGATGAGCAGACCATCCTTGTTCTCAAACCAGTTGGACGCCAGCACTGCTTTCATGTTCACCAATGACGGATTGCCCACCAAGGCTGGGCACATGCTGGCGTTGCCGCCGATAACATCAGCCTTGTAGTGGGACTCCTCGAGACCGGGAATCATGGGAAGAGACATCTTGATCTCCCCAAGTGTCGTATCCGCCGCGCCACTGATGCCGGTGACCTCGGATTCCTTATGCTTCCACTCCAGGGCGTCCTTCACCTGCTGGGCCTTGTCCACGTCGGCGAGGAGATCACGCAGGGTCTCCGTTCCAACCAAACCATTGGCAGCTCCAGGGTCAATGATCAATCCTCGTCGACGACGTCCGCCAACCGTGTGGAAGATCTCGTTGCCGTCCTCAGTCTCATGGTAGGATTGATGCTGAGCAGGAGCTGAATCCTCTTTTGATCTGAAGAAGAACGCCAGCTTCTTGAAGTAGAAGGACAAATTCTTGGCCGGAGTGGCTGTATCTGCAGGCGATGTCTCTGAGGTCTCGACAGTGGCCGTCGCAGCTGTTGATGTAGTTGGGCGGCCGGTTCGTTCCAGGCTGAGGAGATCCTCGAAGTAGTCGCTGCGACCAGCGGTAGTTGTCTTGTCCGAAATGTCGAAGTACCTGGCAGGTCTCATTGGCACTGGATTCGGCGGATCCTTTGGTGGCGAGTCTCCAAGATGAAGTCCGGTTCGAACGTGGCGCTGTTGATGGGACTCCCATTCTTCTTCTTCGCCTTGTCCAACAGAGTCGCCGTACACATAGTACCTGGGAAGCCACGACCTAGGACCGTCAGGGGAGCTCCACGATCCTTTTGTCCAGCTCTTGCCACGTCCTTTTGTGGGTCGGCCTTTGTGCTTTCCTTTGCCCTTGCCTTTGCCTTTGTTCTTGCCCTTCCGGTACTTGCCCTTGCTCTTGCCGCCAAAGGATGAGGAGCTTGATGACCCTTTTCCTTTGCCCTTGACTGGGCAATCTGCCGCCAGGTGCCACTTGCTGCCACATATGAAGCAGCCGGAACCTGAGCCATGTCCTTTTCCTCTGCCACCGCCTGCACTGAAGACTCCCTCGGGCTCGACAGAGGAAGGTGCCGAAGTCGACTGATCCTCACCTTGATATCCAGGTTCCGATGCTGGGTCTCCTTGCCAGGGCAACTCCTCCGCCTCGTAGAACTCTTGCTCGTCCTCGTACCAGGATTGGTTGCCGTAGAGGTCTTCGCCACTCCACTGGCCGTCTGTCCACCACGCGTCGCTCCAGTAGTCGTAGTCCTCGGCCTCAGTCCAGCCGTACCAATCATCACCATCCTCGTAGTCGTCATTCTCATACTCCCCGTAGAAGACGTCACCAGAGGTCGTGACCTTGTCGACGCGGTGCGACAAGCGGACAGCCAAGGCGCGAATCTCGTGGAAGCGGCTCATATCTCCTTGCACTTGCAGACGAAGATCATCTTGATGCTTCTGCGGAAGTCCGCTCTGCTTCATCCACAGATAGCTCTTGGCAACCTGTCCGAGATCCAGGCCTGACTTGAGCTTGGCCTCTTCATAACGAAGCTCCCAGTCCGCCGAGTATTCTTGAAGTGATTGTCCGTGGGGCCGCTTGTATTCAAAGAAATTCTCCAGGGAGCGCATAGCTTGGGTTTCGTCATTGTCCCCATAGGTGTCCCTGAGTGCATTGCATAGCGCCTGCACACCGCTGGGGATATGGTGCTGGATGATGGTCACGCCGTCGTTCGGGTCGATGACCTCGTCGACGCTAAGACGGACAAGGGCTGCATCTCCGATGTCATAGCCTCCGTCCGGTCGCACCAACTTCAGCTCCAGGGCCAAGCGCTGTGCTCCTCCCTGAAGTCTCCCTGCTATCAAGGGTCCCACGATCTCATCTGCGACCTCGCAGCAGCGGTACCAGAGCTTCAACTTGCTGAAGAAGAGCTTCAAAGGGTAGCTCTCAATTCCAGGCTTCCATCCAGGAGGGGTATCTTTCCTCCACTCGTCCAGTGGTACTCCTCCTTGTCCAGGATTTGCCATTGCTTCCGCAGCCGGGCGTGGTAGTAGATGACTTAGTCGTTCGCTACCTTGTCCGTGCGGAGAATCGGGCCGTAGTGCTGGATCGCTTCCAGGCCGTAGGGCTCGATCTCCAGAGGCCGCCTCGAAGCCACAGCAGCCCAGGAGCAAAGAAGATGAAGAGGAAGTGGGCGGACCAGAATCGGTCAGCCAGGCAAGCTTGTTCGAAAGCTGTCCAAGGAAGATGGCTGCTAGAAGCAGCCTCGTGGTGGGATGTCGTGGGCCGCGAGGCCTTCGAGGTCGATGCCGAGGAGAAACGTGTAGTCGAACTTGTCCAGGAGAAAGGACTTGGCTTCCAAAGCCAGTCGTCGGCACAATGCCGAGGCGCCGTATGGCGAGTAGCCCTAGTGCTGGAGACGAAGCTCCGCTACCAGAATTGAATCTGGTCTTTTCCAGGTAACTCAAGCCGGCTGCGGTATCACCAGTCAGAACTTCTAAGTGCATGCAATGGCCACATGAACAAAATGACTTTAGCACTTCCGTCGTAGACATTCAAACATTGCCAGATGACTTCGAGGATGCACAACATTTTTTGCAGGCCTGCATGAGGCTCCAACCTCACGCCCTACACCACAAAGCAAACAAAACCGCAAACCGCCTGCAGAGACATCGTGCGCAGAGGTTGACTTGATTCTGCCTCAGCCCAAACCCCAAAACCTTCATCCCCAAGCCCTTAGCCGGCGCACCCCAGGACCACGATGAAGTTGGCAGGAGAAGCATCCGTGGTGCTCCTGCACGGGGCTTTGGATGTGAGGATTTCTCAGAAGCATTTGTAGCACTGAGGGTCGAGGACTTGGGATTTGGGGTTGATAATTCCGTTGCCTTAAGGGACCTGACATATCTAGGGTTTCTAGATGCCTGCGGTGTAGAGTATATAGGGTTCATGAAGTCTTTCATGGAAGTATCAGGATGATGGATTTATGGACTGAGACACAATATTTGGGGATTTGTGTCCAGAGATAAGGCTTTGGTGCTTTGGGGTTTTGGGACTCAGGGGTTTAGGATCGAAGTGTTTTGAGAATTCTGAGTGGTGGGATTGCACAGGTTCATGGCTGGTTCTGCGCAGGGTTCCGTTAACCCGACTCCTACAAGACCAAGCGTAAAGTTCATCCAACTTGCAAACCCCCCTGCGACCCTAAACCCGAAACCCTATTAATGCCCAGGTAGGGCTTGGCCTCCTCGGGAAGGGACACACGGGGGCTTCCCAAAATTTGGGGTGGGGTCCCCTATTTAGGCAAGCAACCACATCCCTCCGCGACTTCTGTAGAGTTGTTCGGGCGAGCCGTGGTACAAACATGTCGGAGCTCGTACAACTTGGTCATGCCCACGACTTCTGGAGGTTAGTGGGGAATATGGAAATATGTCATAACTAGGGGGTTATATAGGGATCATATCCCCTTATTCCCTACTAAGCCCTAGCAAGAAGAAGCAGTAAGCCTGCGAAGTCATGCAAAGCTAGAGGTCACGACCCGACTGCATTCTCAGGAGCATGGCTGTGCGACTGTCATACAAGGTCTAGAAAGACAAGTCTTTAGAGGATCATGAACTGGTGGTACTTTGATAAACCCCGAATTGAACATGTACAGGTCCCTTATGCAATCATGATGGGAAATCAAAAGTCATCTCCCGATGTGAAGACCGCGGACCTTGGCTGATTTGCCTTGAGAGTAAGAGTCGTAGTGCCAACCTTGGTGGTATGGGCTCGTCGTCTGATTACGGAGACTCTTTTAATTGAATCAGAGAAAATTCACGCAAGAAAGAAGCAGACCCTGGCCATCCTCTTTTCTTGTTTACGTTTTAAGGCATCTAAGGCTGAACGAGGAGTTGGAGTTAGATTGTCATGATTGCGGAAGGACTTCAACAGCATTGGGAAACCTCTTGCTCCGGCCTCAGTTTGTAACCAGCCCCACGAAAACCCTGGCACTTTACACCCTTTACCGGATGGCAGCCCATCTACCCCAAACAAGGTGGGCCCAAAGCACGAGCAACCTCAGATTGTCTTAACTTAAGGGCCCCCACTTCCTCCACAACCTATTCATCTGGTTCTTTGTCGGCTTGGACAAGTGTTTGTACACCTTTGATTGGCTGTTGCATGCGTGGCAGCATGCGGAGTTTCTGAAGGTTGCATCATGCCTTTTAAGGTTTGTGACCTAGCGGCAGAGTGACAACGTGCTCTGAAAGTCATAGCGTAGGCATCTGGATCTAGGGGTTTACGTTGAGGAGGCAGACCCAGTAAGAACGTTGCCGTCTCATAACAAAGGCCGTCCCAAACCCATGCTTATGCCCCTGCGACAATAAGATTCTGACGGAGGGGTGCTAAACACATGTGAAGATTGCAGAGGGATCATGGGGGGTTTCTACGAAGGGATATAGTCCCCCTTCAGTAGGTAGAATATGGGTTATATGCGGATCTTATTATTATATACCCAAAGCCATATTCTATCTACTTAAGGGGGACTACATACAGCCAAACTCCGATATCAAAGTATGCGATCGCAGCAAAGTCAG